CTCAGCAGTTTCTCTTTACTAGACAAGGGGAAGAGTGTACCCTCAGCAGCCAGGCCAATCTGTAAAGCACTTTTGTGTACATGGTCTCAATTCATCCTCATGACTATTCTGAAATATGATTTTTATTCCTGTTCTTCATAAAAATTCCAGGATGTAGGTACTATTGTTATCCCACTTCAAAGATGAAGAGATTGAGGCACAGAGAGGTTAAGCAACTTGCTCAAGGTCTCACAGCAGGCAAGTGGCAGAGCTAAGATTTTAACCTATGCTAAGGTACCAGAGGCCATGCTCTGAAACATGGAAATCCCCAATGGAAACTTCCAAAAATACTTGTAGCCTGAACATGAACTATGGGGTTCTTTCCAGTGGCTGTTCTATTAATAGAAACCCCTGCCTTGCTGCCAGGCCCTAGAAATGCCTTGATCAGTCTAGAAAAGAAAGGTTCCTTTACCGTCTTAGATTTTGGGAAATTTGACCTACTTGGTGAGCTTATCCTAGTACATCTCAAGCCACTTTCCAAGCCTTTCTGCTGTATTTTATAATATATAAATTTTGGGGGAGTGTATCAGAGGACCTGATCACAGGCTCCAGAGGAAATGATAATTTGAGTTGGGGTGTTCCTGCCATAGTAAGAGAATGTTTGAAATGAGACCACAGTTAATGGAGGAAAGGGTCCTGGCTTTGGAGTTAGACAACTTTGAGTTAAATCCTAGCTCCATCACTAGCTGTGTGGCCTTTGTCAAGTCCATTGATCTCTCTGAGCTTGTTTTCATTGTCTTAAACGTGGATAACACTAACTACCTAATGGAACTATGAGGATTAAACAAAATGATAATCCTCAGGGCTCTGGCACATAATAGTTGCACCAGAAATCTCTCTCATCTCTGAGAATGAGAGAAAACATGGCATAATGCATGCAGCTTCATGCAGTTTTGGAGTCTGGCAGAATTCTGCTTCACTGGTTCCTAGCTATGTGACTTTGAGCATATCTTTTAACTTAGAACACCCTTTTCCCTTTTCTTTGAAATAAGGATACCAATACCTATTTCTTAGAGTTTCTATGAGGATTGAATGAGTTACTGCATTGAAACTCCTGGCACAGGGAAGCCCTAATAAACAGCAACCTCTTTTATTATGAACAAAGTGTCTAGTACATTACAGACTGGCATCCCACAAATGTAACTTCTCTTCTTTCCCCAGAAAGCAGTCTTGGGCAGTCAGATAGTTAAGTTGTCTGCCATTTGACTCCTGCTCAGTCTTTAATTTTCTTCAGATCTAAATACAAAGCTTTTCAAATAACTCTCCCCACCCAACCTTGCAATACACATAATAAATGCACAATTAGCTTACTTCTTTATTGGAATCATGGTGTTCAGGCTTGCATTAAGATTTGCTGTTAGAATCTTTCCCATGATTCTTCTTACACTCAAATCATATTTACTACCATTCTAGGCTCACTTGATGATATCACTATTTGAGACTGACTAAAAATAATGGGTGATGTTTCTTCAAGTTCTCAGCTCTGTAGAACTTTCAGACTACTTACTCCAACTCAATTAGGTAACAATGACTCTAGCCAGGATATCTTAACCAATCAGTGATGGCTCTCTGGGCTACCAAGTGCCTATCATGATGTTGATTAGCTTACCCAACCACATTTGAAGGGCATAATTAAATATGAGGTCTATTTGAAATAATCATGCAGAAACTAGCCTTTCAACTCATTTGGGACCTCCTTGACATATTTGTGATTCAGGGGAATGATAAAACAGTGGTGGGAATGGGGATAGTTGTCACTCCCAGGTGATTGTGAATGCATTTAAAATAATGGATCCCATGGCTTTGAGCTTCTACTGTCTGCCTGGAGCTCCAGAAACCATTCTCAGGAAAGCCAAGAACTCCCAGGAATAAAGTGACCTTTGTGCCAATATCCTTATACAAGCAGTACCTTATTTACTACCTGTCATGGTATATAGCACCCAAGAGACATTCAAGAAATACCTATTGAGTGGATTAAGAATCCTGTAGATTCAAATAACCACAAAAAGTCAGTGCTGAGAGAGAAGCAATAACCGTCTAGACTCAATCCACCCCCAATCTGGCGGATTGGGTAGTTGAGGTCCAAGAGGGAAAGAGACTGACTCAGGGCCACACGTGTGACCTAAATATACCTGCCCTGTTACAAGACATGGCATATGCCTGCCAATCTGGATGTGTTTATAGTAAAGGGATTTAGAAATGTGACTGGGGGATGATATCCCTTGTTCTAGGATTTTCAGTCAGTCCTTATATGACTCTAAATGTTCCAGACCCTTAGAGGGTGACACGACCCCTGCCAGAACTAATTCCCCACCTGGACCCTTTGGGGTCAGCTTGATGATTTATTTCACCCATCTGTTCATTCCATCACTCTCATGTGTATTCATTCTCTACCAATACCAATCAAGAGCAAATATTCTTAATTATTCCTACAGTTCCTTTAAAAGGGAGCAGGTCCATTATCACATCTAGCATTGGAAGTCAAAGATGCCAATCCTGTTTTTGACCTGATAGTCATATGCCCCTTCATTTCCAAGTTCTTAATACTGGAACCAAGAATTTACTCAAAGAAGAAGAAAAAAATGCTCTGAGATCATGGAAAATGAGAACAATACATGTTGATCCTGGAATTCATTTGCCAGAGGAAATCCGGTGGCTTTCTTTATTTTACTTGCTTCAAACAAAGAGAAGGGTGTAGGACAAGGAAATTCTGTGAAGGAGAGGTGGGACTTGACTCCAGCTGGAGCCAGGAATGTCTAAGTAGCTACTGCTAGAGGTATTATTGTGAGGACCACAGGTTCAAGGGCAGTACTGCTTCCAGACAGAGACACACATTTATATTAGCTACTCTTTTCTTAGAATGTGGGTGTTTCAGAGGCTGAGAGAGCCAACTTTCCAGTCCTTCCACGCTCATCTAGAGATGCCTATTGAGCTTAGAGAAGGTGAGAACCCTTTTAGAGGTTGATGTGACAGCCACAAGAAGCAGAAAAATGAAAGATATTGCTGATCTTGGGCTAGAAGCTCAAGTTGGTCAGGCCTGGGAGGGGAGAAGTGGAAGGAGGGAGTGGGAGAGAAAATTGAAGGCAGTCGCCAAGGGAGAAGCAGTGGGCAACTGTTTGTACTTACTAATAATCTCCAGGAAAAAAGCATAAGTCAAGGACAACAGAAGCCTGGTCAGCCTACCCTCCGTCCCACCATGTTGATTTTTTTTTCTGTAGTAAAGACCTGTTAGTTAACTCTTATGTTTTCTTTGTAGAAATACAACTCAGGTCTGGTTTAAATAGGAACACTCAAACACCCAAACCACATCCCCACTTTTCTGGAGGTTTGAAGATCTCACAACAGCATCGGAGGCAGCAACACTGAAAAGCAGAGTGGAATTCTGCTCTGCTTGACACATGATACAGAACCCTCGCCTAACACATTCTTTCAAACATGCATTTATTGAGCACCTACTGTGTGCCTGGCACTGTACCAGGTTCTGGAGGTACAGCAGGGAGCAACAGTGACAAGAGTTTCTTCTGTTACTGAGCTGTTCTTGTAGTGACCAGTGGAATGTGAGACTAAGGAGGAGAGATCAAGTATGATGCATGGGTTTCTGGCTGAGGTGACTGAACAGATTACTGAAAAGAAGAATAATAGGGGGGGAAGGGAGATGAGGAGTTTTAGTTTTGAAAGGAGGCACAGTGTAGTGGTTATAAACCTGAGTGCTTGAGTCAGATTGTCTAGTTTAATTCCTCACTTCACTACCTTACTAACCTTGGACAAATTACTTCACCTTCTGCAATTCAGTTTATTCATCTGTAAAATGGGGCTAAAGGAAGTCCATACTTAGTGGGATGTTATGAAGTTAAATGTGATACTATCTATAAAAAAGAAACACTTACAAACAGTGCCTGACACTTGGTAAGTGCTATATATAAGTTTGATAGTAGTAGTAGTAGTAGTAGTAGTAGTAGTAGTAGTTGTAATAGTATTGAAAATGTTGAGTTTGAGACGTTTGTGGAACAATATAGCCGTAAACAAATATGAGAGAGGGCTTTAGAGGTAGACTACCAGAGTTCATAGCCCAGTTCTTCCACTTACTAGCTATTTGACATTGGGAAAGCTACTTAACATTTCAATATATTTATCTGTAAATAGGGATAATCACTCTTATCAACTTCACAGGGTGAAGATTAAATGACTGCATTTGCATAAAGTGCTTATAACAATGCCTTACACCTAGCTCAATTAACCATAAGTAGCATCGATATTATTAGTGTTATCATTTAACTACAGAAATTAAACAAGCAGTTGGATATATAGGTAGAGGACTCAGAAATGAGATTCCTGCAAGTCAGATAGAAGCCTTTTATTGTTGGTTTTCTTAAATCCAAATGCAAACAATAAATGTTATTGAAAATTTAAAAAGGTCAATTGTTAGCGTTTGTAATTAACTTCAACATATAACTCTTGGGCACTGACTTTGTGCCCAGAGTGCAGAGATGAATCTGATGTCAGTCCTGCCTTTAAGTAAGCTTCCAATCCAAAAGACTATTTTGAAATCCACATCTCCTGCCATTTGGGTCCTTGGAATTTACTTCTCTTCAACATGGCCCTATTGTGCCTACTACAGGTGAAATATAAAAAATAATCATACATAGGGCACAGGCACTGACCAATCAGGTCAGGCTTTAGTGCTGGCTTAGAGCTTTGGGCCCCTGTTGGGTCAGATATTAACCCTTTAGTTGCTAGGTCACAAGGATGACATGGGGGAGGGCCTGCTCATGAAGAGGGACCAGGATGGTGACAGTGAGGAGAGGGTACTTAGGAGGTGGGTGGGGGGTAGCAGCTATTTATAAACTGATGCAGAAATATTTCAATTTTCTCACCATTGGGATTCCTGTACTGGCAGTACTGGATAATATATCAGCCTTGGTGAGGGACCTTAATCTCTGCCATTTTTGTCTCTTTTCCAGAAAAACCTAAGATCTATCAGAAGGAGACAGATTTGAAGACTATCCATCCAGTACTCCTAGGCAGTGAGAACATCCTTCGCTGTACAGCAAGTGGTCTACCTCTGCCCTCCTTCATGTGGGCCTGGGAGCCCTGCAGCCATAAAGATGAGTTGTAAGTGACTCACAGGCCAAAAGACCTCACATGGTCCAGACTCTTGGGTTTACTGAGCTACATGAGGGGCTGGCAGTCTTAAAATCTTACCAGGAGATTTTCTCTTCCATATGATGTGACAGGTGTTGTCCGTGGTTTTGGAATGGGCCCAGGAAGGTAGCACTCCAATAGATATCAAATCTTAGGATTTTGCCAGTTCCTTTCAAAGTCACAGCCTCAAATTACAGGTACAAACAACTGTTATGGTTAACAGGCCAGGGAAATTTAGATTTAGATTATGACTTGAGATTTAAGTGAGAGGAGGAGCAGAATAGGGCAGGTTTCCAAATATCTGTCACTGCGTGGAAGAAAAATTAGTAATGGGTTTGGAAAGTGGACGTGTTTCAACTGTTTGAGAACTGCTTCCATAATAAGCCTGATTGGAATTGTAAACCCACAATGGGAAAATCTGTCAGCAAGTAGCAGTTTTAGATCACAGCACATTTATTTAGCCTCCTGTGGTCCTTGTGAGAAGATAGGACAGGGATTCCTCGTCCCCAGTAACAAATGGAAATACAGAGGCTAAGGGGAATAAATGACTCACTTGTGACAACACAGGAGTCAAGAGAGAAATCACAATGAGAGCCGTGTGCCTTAACTCTTACCCCTTAAGAGCTTCCATTTATTGAAGCCCTACTATATGCCTGGAACATATTAGATACTTTGATTTTTGTGTTGGAGCAATAAGCTCTATTTCAAAATGACTGCTTACACGTGGCCCCCATAAAAATTTTCAGTTATATGTGGCCCCTATAAAAATTAAGAAAAAAAGGCAAATTCAGAGCGGCAAAGTGAATTGCCCCAATTCTCAGAATAAGCAGCATTTAAGAATACTTCATCAGATTACATCATAGAAATGGTGGAGTGAGGTGAGCCTCTTGAAATCTCCCCTGGAATTAACAACAAATTGAACAGCTGTAACTCCACAAAGGACTCCCTGCACAGTAGACAGCCAAGACTAAGAGACATGCAATTGAAACCATATAAAGGTGGGCAAATTGTGCAAGCAGGGGAGGATGGAAGGGGTAAGTGCAGAGACGTGGGCTGTAAGGGCACAGGGAGCAGACCGAAGCTGGGAGCTCTCAGCTCCCTGCATTCTGGAGCTACTGCAGTTGTGGGAGAGGGAAGAATTCAGACTGCTAGTGCTCCCCTAATGGCCCACAGTCCCACCTGAGGGATGAGGATATGACACAGCTGAACCCAACATTCACGGCAGAGATCTCAGAGCAAAGACTGAGAAAAGAAGGGTGAGAATGGTGGTTTAAGTCTTCACTGCTAAGGAGAGGACAGAAGACATAGGCAGGGAGTCTAGCCAACCCCTTCCCACTCTCCCAGAGCTCACCCCAACCCACCCTCCCGGTGCTAGAAGCTGAACAATTGCAGTGTCACATAAAAACATAGAGTATTTGCAGTTCTGTGAATTGTGGCCCCGCAGCCACGGACTTTCGGCCCAACTCTAATAGTTTTGGCAAAGGGGAGGGAGCCTTGGGTGCAGGATTCACTGTGCTGGTGGTCCTGCCATTGCTCAGAGCCACCTCTCACAACCCAGCCCACCTCTGATCCCACCTATCTGGGCGGATCCCTGCAGGGGTAAACAGAGCCTTGGAAACACACAAGCTCTGAAACTGGTGCAAGGAAGAACTTTGGAACCTCAGAAGCTCTCCACATTCCCTCCACGGAGGTGGTACCCTGTGACCCAGGCAACCTGCACACAGAGGAGAAGCCCACTTTCCTGAGACCTCCTCTCCCCACATTGTATGAGAAAATATAACACTACAGTGTGAGAGAGAATAAAAGGCTGCAGCGGGACAGAAAATAAAACAGTCCACCAACATCTACGAGAAAACAAAAGACAGACCTCTTCCTAACAGCCAGTTGCAGAACCTACTCCTGTAGATGCCTAGGAAGAGAAATAATAATAATTCATTAATTGTCATGAATAACCACGGTAATGAGGCAGCTCAGAAAGAAAATGAAAAGTCTCCAGAAAATGAACTTAAAGACATAGAAATATGTGACTTAAATGACAGAAAATTCAAGATTGTAGTTCTGAAAAAATTCAACAAGGTACAAGAAAACACGAACAAGCAGTTTAATTGAACTCAGAAACACAAATAATAAAATGCAAAATTTACCAAAGGTATTGAAAATTTTAAAAAGAACCAAAAAGGATTTCTGGAGATTAAGAACTCAATAAAATAAATAAAGAATGAAACAGGCAGCTTAGGTCATAGAGCTGACCAGATGGAGGAAAGAATCGGTGACATTGAAGTTAGAAATATGGAAATGACTCAGATGGGAAAAGAGAGAGACTTGAGAATTAAAAGAAATGAAAGAACTTTACAAGAACTTCCTGACTTCATCAACAAGAGCAATATAAGAATAATAGGCATGTCAGAAGAAGAAAGGGACAAGAGAACATGGAGTACATTCAAACAAATAGTTGATGAGAACGTCCCAAACTTGTGAAAAGAACTGGATCCTCGAATCCAAGAAGCAAATAGAAAACCTAATTACCTCAATCCCAACAGGCCTTCTCCAAGGCACATTGTATTGAAGCTGTCAAAAATTAACGACAAAGAAAGAATACTCAAGGCAGCCAGGGAAAAGAAGATGGTGAACTACAAAGGAAAGCTCATTAGATTATCATTAGATTTTTCAGCAGAAACTCCACAAGCCAGAAGGGAGTGGAATCAAATATTCAAATTATTGAGAGAAATTACGAGCCAAGAATAATATATCCAGCAAAGATATCTTTTAGATATGCAGGAGTTATAAAGACCTTTCTAGACATACAGAAGCTGAGGGAATTTTCTAACACAAAACCCGCACTACAAGAAATACTGAAGGAGGCTATTCAACCTGAAACAAAAAAGGCAAAAGAATACCAAATCATGAGTAATATTACGGACAGACAGACAGAAGCAGGAAATGTCAGCCACAACACCAAATAGGACACAATATACTTAAACATATAACACACAGGGTAAAGGAGAGAAAAAAAAACACTTAAAAAAAGAGAGGAAAAAGACAACTTGCTACTGCAGCATATAAATCAACTCACAGCATAAATCGGGACAATGTGTGACAACAGAAACATAAAAGGGGAGAGACTAAAGGTCTGAACTGGCATAAGGGAATGGAGAAAGGAAGCACCCTGAAGAAAACGGAATACTCTAAATATGAAACTTTATTTTACATAAACTTAATGGTAACCACACTAAAAAAATCCAGAACTGAGATATATAACATAAAGAAGAAACAGAGGGAAAATCATAGAATACCACCACACTGAAATAATAGACAGCAATAAAAAGACAAAGAAACAATGGCGACACCGTCCTACCAGAAAACCAAAGATAGAATGATAGGAAATCCTCATATATCAATAATCACCCTAAATATAAATGGACTGAACTCACCAATAAAAGGCACAGAATAACAGATAGGATCAAAAAGCTAAACCCAACCATATGCTGCCTCCAAGAGACATATCTCAGCTACAAGGACAAATGTAGACTCAAAGTGAGAGTGGACATTAACACTCTAAGCAAATGGTATTCACAGAAAAGCAGGAGTAGCTATACTGATATCAGATAAAACAGACTTCAGGATAAAAAAGGTAACAAGAGACAAAGATGGACATTTCATAATGATAAAGGGGACTATACAACAAGAAGATGTAACAGTCATCGATATTTATGCCCCCAATCAGGGAGCACCGAATTATACAATGCAACTACTAACATAACTAAAGGAAGAAATTGACCAGCACTCAATTATAGTAGGGGACCTAAATACATCATTGACAGCTATGGATAGATCATCCAAACAGAAAATAAAGAAATATCAGCCCTGGGCCAGTCAAGTGGTGCATTGGTTAAGACCTGGCTTGGGACACCAGAGGGCTCCAGTTCGGATCCCACATATGAGGGCCAGTGACACTGCCCTCCACAGCTAAGATGCTGAACAACAGCTCAACCTGGAGCTGGGCTACTGTGAGTTGCTGGC